CTCCTCCTCCTCCTCCCTCCCACTCTCCTCCCACTCCCCCCCCCTCCTTTCACTCCCCTCTCACTCTCCTCCCTCTCACCACTCTCCTCCCACTCCCCTCTCCCTCTCCCCCCCCTCCTCACCCCGCAGGGTCCCGGGCTATGATCTTGAGGCTGGCGGGGTTGCGGATCAGCTTGTCCAGCGCGCTGACGATGTTGGTGAACCGCGGCCGGGCGCTGCGCTCCTTCTGCCAGCAGTCCAGCATGAGCTGGTGCAGGGCGGTGGGGCAGTCCGGCGGGGGCGGCAGCCGGTAGTCCTGCTCTATGGCATTGATCACCTGGGAGACGGGTACGGAGAGGCGGTGAGGAAGAGGGCGGGGTGAGAGAGACGGGCAGAGAGGCCAAGGGTGGCACCGAGGGACACCTACATCCTGGTTGCTCATGTCCCAGTAGGGCCGCTCGCCGAAGGACATCACCTCCCACATCACGATGCCGTAACTCCAGGCGTCACTGGCCGACGTGAACTTGCGGAACGCGATGGCCTCGGGAGCTGTCCAGCGGATTGGGATCTTCCCACCCTGCGATCAGGAAACGTGGGGTAAACACAGAGGTAGGGTGGGGCAAAGGTCAAGGGTTGGGGACCAGGGGTCATGACTCCCCAGTGCAGCTCCTGGTGATCCCCACCTTATTTCCTTTCATCATCCTTGACTTCACTCAGTCTCAGCCTTCTCTCAACTCATCTGACAATTAAAATGGTCTACATTCAGTTTGATAAATTCCAGATTCCCAATCTCTCATTCTTATCCTCTTCCCTATTCCATTTCCCAAGTCCATGCACGCCTTTGGCACCAAAGACCAAGACTACCTCCAGTGATGATCTGGAGGGCGTCGGGGACAATCTGCAGACGAGATTGTTCATTTCAGCTCTGTATGGTGCAACCTAGTGTGGCCCGCAGATGTTGATTTTAGGGGTAAGTTTGTTTTGGGGGTATCAAAAAGAATTTGAGGGTGTCAGTGAATGTTTTGTGGATGAATCTACACACGCACAGGAGGACACAACCCTTCAATGATACATATCATTGCGATTTTGTAACGTAGACCACAAAACGAAAGTGTACACACGGAGACCCACAACAAGGCTGTAGGTCCAGGCCTGAGAGTGCACAATTCAAACTAGTGAAGGCATTGGCCTCCCGCTGGATTCTGGGGAGACCCGGGGATGGTTCAGAGGGGAAGGCAGCTCAGGGGGAGCCTTACCAGCGAGCTGGTGTAGGTGGGATCAGACGAGTTCTCCTCCAGGAAGCGGGACAGCCCGAAGTCGGACACCTTGCACACCAGGTTGCTGTTGACCAGGATGTTGCGTGCAGCCAGGTCTCGATGCACGTAGCTCATCTCCGACAGGTACTTCATCCCCGAGGCGATTCCGCGGAGCATCCCCACCAGCTGGATGGGGGTAAACTGGCCATCATTCAGCTGGGGAGAGACGGAGAAACGCCGTTCAGCTATGGGAGCTTCACGCACACGGGGAGGCAGGAGACAGACAGACACCAGCCCGGGCCCCCGTCCCCCACGTCCGCGATCATAACAAGGAGACGGAGAGAGGGGCAGACTGACCCGCAGGAAGGAGTCCAGCGCTCCATTCTCCATGTACTCGGTGAGGATCATGACCGGACAGCTGGCGGTGATCACACCCTCCAGCCGGATGATGTTGGGGTGCTCGAACTGGCCCATGATGCTCGCCTCGCTCAGGAAGTCCCGCCTCTGCTTGTCTGTGTAGCCGCCCTTCAGGGTCTTGATGGCCACATAGTTCTCTTTCCTGCCCGGAACCTTCAATCGCCCCCGGCACACCTCCCCAAACTCTCCTGGAGTGAGAGAGAGTGAGACGGAGTGAGACACACCTCCCCAAACTCTCCTGGAGAGAGATGCATCTCCCCTCAGTCTCCTAGTGCAGACAGATTGATAGCTTATCAGCATGTTGATCTGGAACTCAGGAAATCTACGTGTATCAGCGTGCAGAGGTAATGCACGCTGATACATGTAAACATTATCACGTAATGATAATGTTTACAGATAATGTAAACAGTATTATTACATTATAAACATTATCATTATCATTAGGTATCTAAGCAGCGGCGCGTCCCGGCAGGTCATTAACGTGTCCGGGTGACTCACCAGCTCCGATCACCTCCTCTATCTTCACACAGGAGACATCAATCTCCTTGGCGAACTCCCTCACCGCCTCGTTAGGGTCCTCGTAGGTGAAGGGATCAATATACACCTTCGTGCCTGGAGAGGGCAGGGAGAAGAAGCACTAGGTCAGCTGTGGAAACCACAACAAGCACCACCAGTGCACAACGACCACTCCCACTGAAGCAGCAGAGCCAAGGTCACCACAGCGTGCACCACAGTGCAGGACGCACTCCAGCAACAAGACACGCCTGCCAGCACAGGAGCACTAGCGCCCCCCGGTGGCTCACCCTGGCCGATGAGGTAGTGTCCATGCTTGTCACTTAGTTCAGGGTCCTTCCCTCCTCCATGTTTCCTGGGGATGTGGAAAATAAGAGAGAGAGAGAAAAGTGGGTCATTGTATTACTTCACTCGATCTTCCCCCACTTGTCTCTCACACTTTTTCCTTCACTCACCCTGCCCTTACTCTAACCTTTCACCTCGCCCGTCACCTCTCGCTCCACCCCATTTCTCACTGTTCCCCACCCTCATTCCTCACCCCTCCCAGTCCCTCCCCTGCCCC